ACACACACACACACACACACACACACACACACACACACACACTGACAACAGATTAACATGTGAGCAGTCTGTGTCCAACTGGTCCAAGGCCCTGAAACAATTTTTACTGTAATACAAGCGCACAAAGAGGGGGGTACCAGTTGATTTAAGCAGGTCATTAACAGGAAGGCGTTTGATAAATCTTTCAAATGACTATTTGTTASTTCTGTTACATGAAGCACCAGGAAACCAAGAAGCGACACCAGTAAGAGTCACGTTCGAGGTGCTTATTGGTGCTTTTAAAGCTGGTTGCCAGGGTTGTCAGGTCGGCTGCTCGGGTGATTTACTGTTTCCAAGGTACCAGTTTTCTTCAAGCTAGTATTATTGACTTGTGTTTCTGATATGTGGTCGCTCTGGTGTTTTGGTTGTGCTCACAGTGCAATTAAAGCTCGTTATTGGATTCCTTATGCTACAATCAGCTAGCAGGGGTCACTATGGTCTGTGCAGGGATGTCACTTAGACCAAGTCCTCCATGATGGGAGGGAAAAAAGATGGTCACAATAACATCATTTTTTATTGSGGTGGCTATGTGGGGTCACAAAAACTTTTTTTTTAGGCGTGGCTTCCCAAATTTACCCAAATTCCCAGAAAAGTTTGTCAAAAACTTCCCAGACATCTGCAAAACAAAGATAAAACAACACAGCTCCAGCCTTTTAGAATTAGTGAAATTAAACAGAAGGGCTCCAGACACCTGCCACAACTTTGACTATAATGAAAAACTACTGTTATTAGAAAATACACAGGTATATCGCCAATTTAGTAATTTTTTTCTCATTTTCAGAAAATTAAATCTTCCTAAAATGAGAAAAAGAATAGATGTTAAAAATCCTGTCTTTGTTAGTTTATTTTTAAGTAACAAACAGGAGCATAAGATTGCTTTTACACGTCAGAAAACTTTGACTCTGACTGAACAGTAGCTCAGTTGGAAGAGTCACTCAGAAGGAAGGTTGCCGGTTCAAATCCTTTTGAAATAACCAACCTTTCTGGGTAGAGTTTGTGTATTCTCTCCGTGCGTGCGTGGGTTTTCTCCAGGCACTCCTGCTCCCTCCCACAGGCCAAAAACATGAACGTTAGGTTAATTGGAATGGTTGTTCGTCTGTTTGTCTCCATGTGTCCTTGTGATGGACTTGCAACCTGTCCTGGGTGTACCGCTTGCACTGTGACCCTGAAATAAAGATGTGGGTAAAAAATAACGGATGGATGAAAACTTTGACATCCTAAAATGTAAAAACGAACCACTTCATGACCCAACTACCAGACTGAAGATCCTATATATATAAAAAGACATAATTTTGTGTTTTGGCTGCAGAATAAATTAAAAACTTGAAGTGCAGCTTGAGGACAAAATGTCCTGCCTCATTGCTTTTTGTAAACGAACACTTCCTCATGTTTCTGAGTCCACTGGGGAGATTTTTTTTTATCCTGCTCTTTCCTCTTTTGTCGGACACCGGAGGAGGTTGGTTTTGGGTTTCTGTGATGTGTGCGCGTTTGTATCATTCTTAGTCGCTCCATTTTGGGACTGGGACAGGAAGTGGGCTCAGAGGAAACATAACCTCCTCCCTCCCTCTATCCTCTTACTTTTTCTTGTATTCCCTCTTCCTCCCTTTGTCTGACCCCCCCACACTCCCTCCCCACAAACTGTACTCACCCATTCACAAGGTCATGTTTTATTTTGTTTCGGTGCCAGAGTTCTTGCAGTCATGGSTTTTTTGCAGCGTGCATGTGTAGGATTTTAAATTACAGTCTGCTCCCTCCCTGTATAAATAAATCTATGTTGACCAGCGATTTTTAAAACAACACAAAACCTCTGGTCTGGTTGTTTCTGGACCCCCTCCCTGTCTCGGGAGACCCAGAGGCTGTAATGTAGCAGAGCTCCTCTGATAAAAAGCCAAAGCAAAGGTCAGACTCTGCTGGGTAACGGAGATATCGCCCGACTTCAGCTCTGCTCTCATGCCCAGCGGTCTGATAGCTCCTCGCTGATGAGCTTCATATTACATTATGTTGGAATAAGAGCCGAAGGTTTAGCTCCAGCGTTCATCAGTGTGACATTACTTATCAGCAGCTTCGATTGGCTGCTTCTTTGCGCTTTGCATGAAAGCTTCTCGTGTTCATAAAATCTGATTAAACCACCCTGGGAAATAAGAAGAAAAAAAAAAAAAACAATTAGATTTATTTCCTCCTCCTCCTCCTGCAAGGGGCTCCAAACTTTTAAACATTCCTCCCTCCCCTTGCTTCATCTTTCCACTGCTTCTCGCTTCGTCACGTGCGCGCTCAAACGCACGCTGGGAAAATAAAGAAACATCATGTCAGCAAATGGCAGTGTATTTCACCACAGAGCACAGAGGCAAGGAGCTGGAAAACACAAAAACAGACCGAGAAGAAGAAAAAAAAGGGCCAAAGGACCTCCCTCTTCTCTTCCTGCTGACAGCCTGAGCCATTTTTTATTTGTTTCTCYTCCTCAGACGTTTTTCCTTCCTGCTCCTTCTTCTAACAGACACATCCAGTGCAATGACACGCACAAAATAAAATCATTTCAAAGAAAAAACAAAGTGAGTAAAAAAATAAGGTTAGTTCAGGTTACAGCAACAAACCAGTTACAGTTCTGTTAAGAGTGGCGTTCGTGCTGCAGGTATACACAGTGTCAGTCAAAAATGTACAGTATTCACTTTACAGGAGGGCAGACASACAAACGGACACAGTATCGTCGTAAACAGAGTGGAAAATGTTCATGTTGATGAAAGCAGACAGAAGACTCAAGGTGGGGAAAAAGTAGCTCGGCCGAAATCCGTCAAATCTTCGCAATCAACGTTTTCATGTTTCTCTACAYGATTTCAGGAAGTTTAGGAGGTACAGTGGGTCTAAAGTAAAATTAAGTTGGTAGTTTAACCACCATCTTAAATCAGTGTGTGTGACTGAGTGTAACGTAGCAACAAATGATTTTTTTTTTGTTTGTTTTGCTCCCCAACGTAAACATTGCTGTAAATTTCTCATGTGGGAACTATTAGTGTCGTCAAATACAGACGCGTTTTACAAAATGATAAAAAAAATTGAGGTCTCTATGGACTGTGATTTCCTTCAGGTTACTGATAGGATATCAATGTTTTCCTTTAAAAAAAAAAAAAAAAAAACACCCACCAGGAAGGAGCGCGAGGAAGAGGCCGTTTACGTTTCGACTTCGCCATTTTCCTCCGTGTCTCCGAACGGGACGGGACACGATGCAGAAATCATCTTAATCTTTTAACTCAAACGGCCCCTTTTAGCGTTGAGAAAAAATTTCTTATCAAGGTTTAATATTGACTTTTAACTCATTAGCAACATCCTGATTCAGTCATATATCAAGTTCTCATTTCCACAGCCTCGGTGCACCTGGGCAGCTAATGTGACCGCTAAGCTAATTTTAGAAACTTTGCTTTCTCTTAGGAAAGATCTGTTTTCACTCATACAGCTGCTTGAATCCTTCGAGAACATGACATATTTCACCTAYAGCCTATAATGACAGCATTTCTAAAACTATTTGATATAGAATAGGTTTGTCAAATATTACTGTGACTTATATGTCACATTGGGCAATAAACTAAACTGTACAAAAAGATTCGTCACAATGAGAAAAATACTAAYCATCTTCTTAGTTAATTTAGCTCAGTTATTTTAGATAAATATATTTTCTGTTGTTTTAAATCACATTTATGAAAATTTATGAAATTCTTAAAACTAAATTTATAATAAATCTATGTACGACCAATGTATTTCCACTGGTTGGAGGCATKTAAARAAAATCAGAAACGTGTTACATAYAATCCGTTTGTTATAATTYACACACCCAGAATTTTCATGAATGGAAAYGGGTTCTAAAGGGTTAAATGAAGTCTGCGGTGTTGCATTAAGCGGGAGGAGCTGGTGGGAATAAGAGGCAGAGAAAAGACACGGGAGGGGCGAGATCCAGACAAACGGTGAGTGATGTGAAGCTGCCACTCTGGCGTTTGTTTTAAACTGGGACGAGTCTCTAATTGGTCTGTCCGCTGTTTGTGCTGCTGAGGGAGGAGACCAACAGTCGGCCTATTGTGCCGGAGGAGGACGGGGAGGATTAGAGGAAGGCGGCGGCTCGATTCTCTGCAGCTGTTTGTCTCGTACGAGTGGAAGAGTAACAACACAAGAAGATAAGGAAGCATGAGAGGGTTTCGTCTCTTCCTTCTGTTAAAGTTCATTGACAGGAATGCTTATCACATAACGCAGCATATGACCCGTTTGGGCCCTCAGCTCTCTCCGCTCGTCACGTGGACTTCTTTCTTTCTTTTTTTTTTTAAACACTTTGGCTCGACTTTCCTCCTCGCTCTGTTTCCCACAGMTTGAACCACGTTCCATCAGGGCAGCAGCCTGATCGGGTTTAGTGACAAAGTCGTCATTAGTCTTATATACAGAACAAATAAAACACTTTCAGTGCTCCTGCCGGTGCTCTCCTCTACAGCTTCGCCCTCGTTTCAGCGCGTTTCTACAGGTTAAATGCAGGCTCGCCACAGGCCCAGAGTCACCCCCACGGCTCCACAGGTTTTACAGGTCAGCTCGGCCCACTCTGATGGATGCCCCCCCACCTCAACCATCGAATCGGTCGAGCCGGTTTCACAGTCTCAGAGCTGCCGTCACTGCAGCATGATGTCTTTGAGGTTCTCCTGCAGGATGGTGTCCTTGACGGCGTGAAAGACGAAGCGGATGTTTTCTGTGTCCACGGCGGTGGTGAAGTGGTGGAACAGCGGCTTCCCCCGGTTCCTCCTCTTCCGCCTGAACGAYTGCACCAGGAACATCTGGAAGAAGAGCAGCCGCACTTAGGAGCCTGGCTCATTTTGCCTGCACGGGTTCCTTTTATTTTAATTCATCAAGCAGATTGTGTTTCACAACAAAACCACAACTCAGAACTTTGTTTTTCCATCCCTCCCTACAAGTCYGGAGACAGATTTATGGTGTGGTGCCGCTCGTTTCATGACACATAAAACCTGCTTGTTTTAATTTAGGTTTGGATCGATTGTAACGTTTAAAACCTCTACAAGGGAGGTTTGCTTGTATTTTGGAATTTTTCCCTCCCTAATCCCACCTGATCTGATGGACAGCAGAATGCTTCGAAGATCGTTCGGATCTCGTTAAAAGATGAAAGTCCTCAGAGTACCTGCACATCCTCCAGCCTGCGCGGGTCTCCTCGGAACTCGGGGAAGTTCTTGCGGATGTCCACGGTGCGGATCTTCTCCACCAGCAGGTCGGTTTTGTTGAGGAAGAGGATGATGGAAACGTTGAGGAAGAGCTTGTTGTTGACGATGGTCTCGAAGATGTTCATGCTCTCCACCAGACGGTTCGTCCTGCGGTCCTCCATCAGAACCTGTAGGAACAGAGTCAGTGGTTCCTGTTCACTTCATTATTGCAAAAAGTAATAAGATTTTCTGAAAAACCTGACTAACTTCAGCCTCTAAACTGAGAAGCCCTCAACTCTTCAAACCCTCCTCTCACAAAACCAGATTCTTTTGTTTCTTAAAATGTTCAATGATCTGATGCCACTTCAGCCAACATATCTGCAGCWTTAAAAAGTATTAGATGAGCTGAACAGAAACAGAGAAATACAGACAAACAGAAATACTATTATCTTTTGAAGTCCCAGTCTTGGTTGACTCCATCCTACAGACAATAGATTTATTGCAATAATTTTTTTCTCACAATTTTTCCTTTCTTTTAAATACTTACTCAAGGTTTTTGACTTTTCAAAACAGTTTTGTTTATCTGTAAAAAAAATGAACCAGTCTTTGACATTAAAAGCTTTTATCTCCAAGAAAAAAAAATCATATTAAAGCTGCTGTATGTAGTTTCTGGAAAACCCTGGACTTAGAAAAAATTCGAACAGATACAACCTTCAGGTCCCCCCCCCCCCCTTCCTAAGCTCCTCCCACGCAGCGCGGCCTGAGTCGGGAGATTGAATGAGAGAGTGCGCGGCCGCGGGCTGCGGGCAGGGTGCGGTGGGCGTGAGCAGCTCGTTCACAAACGTGATTGACACCTGTGAGACAAACCTCTGGGCTTTGATTTGCTCTTTTTCTTCGGGAGCGGTAGATTTGAACAGATGGCTGTGGGACCACCGGGAAGAGCCTGAGGACTTTTGTTGTTTCAGAGATTATTTGTCTAATATCCATCTGTCAGGACATAGTGACAAAGTTTTAACAAATATGTCAAAATATATATTTTTATAAAAGTTACAGACTGCAGCTTTAATACTCTAAAATCTTCCACTTTGTTCATCAGTGAGGGTTTATTAAAAAAAGTCCTATAAGCAAATTTTAAAAGGAAGAACTGCCATCTTATTTCTTTAGTCATATTTCAGCAAACAGCTGATCGTTTCATTATGATAAATCGGTTGTTTGTTTTTTGCAGCCAAGCACGGAAGAACTGTTATTTTCACAAAGCATTTACAAATTACAACCCTGAGCTCTTCAGACGCTGTCAGACAAACAAACAGAGCAGACGTTTCTCTGCTGGCRACATTTGAGAAGACGATGGGACGAGGTGGGTCGCGCTGTGCTGTGGCTCCGATCAATGAGTGGCTCTTCAATRATTAACTCAATTATGATGAATGTTCTGCTGTGAGGAAATGATGTTAAATATCTGGGAGTGACTGCTGATGTGAAATTGAACTTTTTTTACGATTATTAACATCGACGCGTCACAAACTCGGCCCAGATTAGATCGTGGCAGCTTTGTTCTCTTTCTGCTGGTCCTGCAGATGTCGCAGCTCGTCACTTGTTGGCCACGATACCTCCGCCGTGCTTCCTGCAAAGAGCTGCCACTATATGACCGCATCCCTGCTGTTTCACCTTGTTGCTCAAGTAATTAATTTCAGAATAGTACAGCTCGTTGTTAAATGACTGGAAAGGTCTGGCTTCGCATTACGTTATCGATCTTTTCACTTCACTTACTCCAGCTGATGATGTCAGCCCAGAAACAGAGGAACAAGAAAGACTTCAGGAGCGTGAAAAAAAGGCTCTCTTTTTTGAAACACTACACTGAAATATATGTGACCCATTCTGACAACATGAGTCAGAATGAGCTCAGGCTGCGGTGCAAAACAAGTGAAAATATTGATTTTTACTGTAATTGAGAATTGTGTAAAAAATTAGTCTTTAAAGACACTGTTTGGAGATCCTGCTGACTAAAATAGCAAAAATATATTTCTAATTTAGGTCTCAAAGTTTTCTAACAGGTACGTCTTTAGAAATAATAATGTTACATATTGTAGATGATGGAGAGAATAAGTGCAAGTTTAATTTCTTTGTTTTATTTGTTAGAGAACGTACTGTATGTACCACGTGTTTTTAAGTGTACTTGTACCTGGTCGTACTCCGACGAAGACACCATGAAGAGTATCGACGTGATCCCGTCGAAACACTGGAACCACTTCTGCCTCTGCGACCTCTGACCTCCGACGTCCACCATCTTGAAAGGGATCTTTTTGATGACAAAGTCGTGCTCGACGATCCCTTTCGTCGCCTTCCTCGCAAACAAWATGTCCTGCCTGCTCGGAATGTAGTTCTGTCGGAGGAGAGGAGACTGGCTTACTCGCAAGGCTGGGAGAAACACGGAAACAAGCTGCGGGATCWGAGGGAGACTCACCAGCTGTCCAATCCGATCCAAGTTATCCAGGAAGTATTTGACCGACTCGCTCTAAAGGACACAAGAAGGAGAAAAAAGTCAGTGACCTGATAATCAACATCTTACTGAGCATTACAGGAACATAAATTGAACAAATAATGAAATTACAAGCCTTGATCAGATTATTAGAACAAATTGATTTCTTGGGTTTCTTCCTTTGGTAATTCTTATTTCAGAGAAGTAGCTTCTGATTAAATAAAACATCAATTGATGCAACAGCAAAGAGCGTATGACCAGCTATAATCACATCAGCTTCATCAGGCTTCTGTTAAAAAATGCTGCTGCTTGTTTGGACAGYCTTATGTTTATGCTTCATGTCTTATTTATTTCACTCAGCTGACCATTCATCCACAGACACAAAAACAGGATTTGTTTTTGTCCTCTGCTTGTTTTATAAGCAATCATTTTCAGTGTACACTCCTATGGGTTTCCTGAATAATAGGCATGCACCAATATGGAATTTTCAGCTGATATCGATATCTGATATAATTATTGCTATCATGGCCGATAACCGATATTTACTGATATTATACAAACACACAAATTATATTATACATATACGCACAAACACACTTGAGTCTTTTCTTGATACCATAAATAAATGACCACACTTCTGACATGGCTTTACTTCAGTTATTCCTGGCTACACAGCGTAAATATCACTATCATGATCAAACAGTCGCTGCTCAACCTGAATGTGTTGTTTTAATGTTTTATCTGTAGTGTGATTTCTTAAATGTATTTGTCTTTTTCTTTTTAAATTGACCCCAGGAAGAATAGCTGATGCAGCACGCTGCTGATGCTAATGGGGATCAAATAAATAATAAAAAAACAAAACCAACCATCTCTCCTCCCAAAACAGAAACACAAAGCTAAAAAGTGGGAAATGGATATCGAACGTTAATATCGGCCCAGTTTTACATATTGGACCGATACTGATATTCTAAAAAATGACCAATATCAGCCAATACYGATTTGAATACTGATATATCGTGCATCCCTAATAAATACTCAAAAAGGTAGATCTAGMAGATCAGAGGCTACATTCACACTGCAGGTCTTTAGGATCAATTATGATTTTTGCTAAGATCTGAAGATCTGTGCAGTCGTTCACATTACATTTTAAATCAGAGCTTCATCAGATCCAGTGTGAACAGTTTGCTTCCCTGAAGCGATGGATCAATTCTAAAGTTGTTGCCCAATTAGAGCGAACTTATCATCTGACATACCGTTACCTGATGTTTCACCTGCTCCTGCACAGAACTGAGCACCTTCTACATAGGTATCGATACAATCCAAGACCATCGTTGGTTTTGTGYATTGGTACTGATTCTCAGTCATACAAGATATGAAACAAAAAAAGACAAAGAACTGGACTATTTATGCTGAAAAGTATGGGCCACTTTTGCCTGCAGTGTGRACATAGCCTAAGATTTGATTGAACCCTCCTGCTGTCCTTGGGTTAAAATGGTCTTTAGGCCTTGATGGTGTTTTTGGCCCAAGGACAGCAGGARGGTTAAATTTAACAAAAAGTTAAACATCACCAAACTCATTCTCTCTCTCTTTTTCACAGAATTTGTTTCAGACGATTAACTGTGAGTTCCCTGGAACAAACATGTGGTATTTCAAAAAAAAAAAAAATACTCAAGCCAGTTTTATTGTAGCACTACTTTTCAAATCATGTTTGTTGTCGCTAACATGTTAAACAAAATCATTTATGTCYCAGTTGTATTTCTGGAGGCATCCCATCATTATTTCACCTTTCAGCCTGAAAAAAACCCACAGTCATCAGAACAGAGTCTTTGTTTTACGCGACCCATAAGGTGCCGGGAGAAAAACAAAGTCTCGTTTAATGAAAAGTTGTTTTTTGGTGGAAGGTTCAGGAAAAAAAAAAGAGAGAAGAGGAGGAGCGTACTTTGAGTCCACAGGCGACAGGAGGAAACAGAAATATAATTAAGCATTTTGATTTAACACCTTGTTGTTCCTGAGGCCTTCCTCTCATGCAATTTGGACAACATGTCTCTTACAAAGTCTWGAGGACAGCAATTCTGTTAAATTATTAAACTGTCTATTTCAACACCTCATTAACTACACTGCAACTCTGAAAACAAAGTTTTCTTTATAAAATATTTCAAAACCCATATTTGTTAAATTTTGTTGGTGACCCTCCTCTGTTTGCCTCAATTAAACTAATCAGCAGATTATAAAATAAAAAAGGGGGGCTGCTCCTACATACTGTATACCAGCCTGGGGGGAAAAATATGTCTAACAACAAATTGTATCAAAATGAGCAAAACTTCCAGTTCAAACTCRCAAAAACCAACACAGACTCATGACCCCATCAATCCCTGGATAAAATGTAAAACACTATTAAAAAGCCAATTAAATGACAACGTAAACAACTCTGACAATCACGTGGCCTGTGCTGTAAAAAGAAGTCACAATGAGGAATATTTTTCATTCCGTTATTATTTTAGATTTTTTTCATCGCAAAAGTTTCAAAAYGATACGCAACTTGTTGAAATCTGGTGATTTGTCACCTGACCTGACAACAAGCTAGGTTTGTTTACGAGAATGCCAAAATGAAAACTCAATTTTAAAATGACTTTGAAGTCTTGAGACCATCTGAAGTCCTCAGACTTGGTGTTTTATGACCCACATTTGGGTCCTAGTCATATCTTACACCACTGATGGTACCTACAGGGTGAGTAAAGGTTGGGACTATATCCTCAGGAATAAAGAGTGCAGAAAAAGTCCCTGCTGTTTCTCAGTTCTTGCTGAAGTGAAACTTGACTGTAGGAAGTGCAAATAATATACAGCGGGTAAAATAAGTATTGAACACGTCACCATTTTTCTCAGTAAATATATTACTAGAGGTGCTAATGACATGA